CAATCAATGTCATGCAGCCWAAGTCAGAATGTGCCCAGCGGTGGCAGTATGGTAGTGACAAAGTAAGTCTAGGATATGATTATAGAGGGTCCTCTTTCACCCCTCTGGGAAACCTTCAGGTCAAGTACTTCCCTTAAATGCCTGTGCACCAATGCATGAAGCATGGGGAACAAACAGGACAAACTGGAGATCTGTGTGAGGTTCCAGCATTATGATCTTATCAGAGTTACAGAGACATGGTGGGATAGTTCACGTGACTGGAGTGCTGTCATGGAAGGCTACGTGCTTTYCCAGAAGGACAGACTGGGAAGGAGAGRTGATGGAGTCGCTCTTTATGTCAGAGAGCAACTGGAACACATGGAGCTCAACCTGGGAGTGGATGATGAGCGGGTGGAGAGCTTGTGGGTAAGGGATAAAGGGCAGGCTAATGGGGGAGACACTGTGATAGGTGTCTGCTAAAGGCCACCTGATCAGGATAAGGAGGTTGATGAGGCCTTCTACAGACAGCTCGAAGTTGCCTTACAGTCAAAGGCACTTGTTCTCAGGGGAGACTTCAAATACCCTGATACCACCTGGAATGACAACACAGTGAGGCACAAACGGTCCTGGCCATTCCTGCAGTGCATTGACGAYAACTTTTTGATGCAGGTTGTTGAGGAGCCAAYGAGGAGAGGTGGGCTACTGGACCTTGTACTCACAAACAGAGAGGGACTTGTTGGAGATGTAAAGGTAGGGGGTAGCTTTGGCTGCAGTGATCATGAGTTGGTGAAGTTCAGGATCCAAAGAGGAGGAGGCAGGGCAGTAAGTGGCATTGTAACCATGGACTTTAGGAGGATTGAGTTTGGCCTCTTCAGGGACTTCCTTGGAAGAATCCTATGGTGTAGGGCCCTAGAAGGAAGGGGGACCCAAGAGTGCTGGTTAGTACTCAAGCAGCACTTCCTCCACATTCAGCAATGGTGYGACCCTGTGCATAAGAAGTCGGGCAGAGTGCAGGAGGCCTGCATGGATCACCAGGGAGCTTCTGGCAAAACTCAAGCAGAAGAAGGCAATATACAGAATGCGGAAGCAAGGACAGGCCTCTTGGGAGAAATATAGGAACRTTGTCAGGGAATGCAGGGATGTGACAAGGAAAGCTAAGGCATGCTTGGAACAAAATCTGGCAAGCGATGTTAAAAATAATAAGAAGAGCTTCTTCAAATATATCAGCGGCAAAAGGAACATTAGGGAGAATGTGGGTCTGCCGGTGAACGGGATGGGTGCCCTGGTTACAGAAAACACAGAAAAAGTAGAGTTGCTCAATGCCTTCTTTGCTTAGTATTTACCAAGGGCAGCCCACTGGAATCTCATACCCTAGGGACAAGAGAAGAAGCCTGGAGAGARGAAGACTTGCCCCTGGTAGAGGAAGATTGGATCAGAGAGTACTTAGGGCAATTTGATACCAACAAATTCATGGGCCCTGATGGGATGCATCCCAGAATGCTGAGTGAGCTGGCGGATGTTACAGCTAAGCTGCTTGCCATCCCCTTGGAGAGGTCCTGGAGGACGGAAGGTGCCGGAGGACTGGAAGAAAGCCAACATCACACCARTCTTCAAAAAAGGCAAGAAGGAGGACCCAGGCAATTACAGGCCAGTCAGTCTCACATCTATCCCTGRGAAAGTGATGGAACAGCTCATCCTGGCTACTGTSTCCAGACACCTGGAGGAGAAGAAGGTGCTCAGGAGTAGCCAGCATGGATTCACCAAGGGGAAATCACGCTTGACTAGCCTGGCAGCTTTCTATGATGGAATGACTGGCTGGATAGATCAGGGGAGAGTGTCATCTAGTTGGACTTCAGCAAGACTTTTGACACCGTCCCTCACAACATCATCCTGGACAAGCTTTGGAAGTGTGGGTTAGATGAGTGGACATTGAGGTGCATTGAGAACTGACTGCATAGCAGAGCGCAGAGGGTGGTGATCAAGTCCAGTTGGAGGCTTGTAGTTAGCAGTGCCCCCCAGGAATCAGTCCTTAATCCAGTCMTGTTCAATTTATTCATCWWCCTGGATGAAGGGATGGATGCTCCCTCAGCAAGTTCACTGATGACACCAAGMTGGGAGGAGTAACTGATACCCCAGAGGGCTGGGCCACCATCCAGAGGGGCCTGGGCAGACTGGACAACTGGGCAGTGAGAAACCTCATGAAGTTCAACAAGGGCAAGTGCAAAGAATAACCCCGGACACCAGTCCAGGCTGGGGACTGACCTTCTGAAGAGCAGCTCTGCAACAAGGACATGGGTGTCATGGTGGACAACAAGTTGACCATGGGGCAGCAGTGTCCTGGTGGCCAAGAAGACCAWCAGGATCCTGGGGTGCATTAAGAAGAGCATCTCCWGCAGGTCAAGAGAGGTGATYGTYCCCCTMTACWCAGCCCTGGTRAGGCCACATCTGGAGACTGTGTCCAGTTCTGGGCTCCCCAGGACRAGAGGGATGTGGAGCTGCTGGAGAGAGTCCAGCGCAGGGCTACGAGGATGATCAGGGGCCTGGAACATCTGCCCTGTGAGCAAAGGCTGAGRGAGCTGGGCCTGTTCAGCCTGGGGAAGAGGAAGCTGAGGGGGGGACCTGATCAGTGTCTATAAATACCTCAAGGGAGGCAGGCCAAAATACCCTCAAGGGAGGGGGCAGCCTCTTTTCAGTGGTGGCCACTGATAGAACTGGAGGAAATGGCCACAAACTGACACATTGCAAGTTCCACAGGAACTTAAGGAAAAATTTCTTTCCTGTGAGGGTGACAGAGCCCTGGAACAGGCTACCTAGAGAGGTTGTGGAGTCTCCTTCTTTGGAGATCTTCAAAACCTGCTTGGACGCAGCCCTGTGCCACGTGCTCTGGGTGACCCTGTGTGTGCAGGGGGGTTGGACTAGATGATCTCTAAAGGTCCCTTCCAACCTTAAGGATTCTATGATTCTATGATCAAGAGACAGTGAGCAAGATTAAGCTCACAACAGAGCTTTCATTACAACTTAACCTATAGAGGAAAAATACAAACTTTAGTAGAAAAGGAGTGGTGCTCCTGAACTTGCTTTCAAAAATCCTCCACAAATTGCTCTTCTGTCTTAATATCCTGATTTGCAAAGTGTTTGTGAACAATCCTACCTGTACAAACAGTCAACACTTCTGAAGAATTTAAAGTGAATTTCAAACATTTATTACATGGCATCCAATCACAATCAAGCACATGATGCTTCAATTTACATATTTATACAGAAAAAAAGCATTTTACTCTGTAGACTACATGTTTTAATATTTTCAGCTGATGTCTGTAACTAAGAAATAACCCAGTGTAAAATCCTTGACCTTTTAACATGAAGAACTAATGAATATGTACAAAACGAAGGCCTAAGTCTTGAATATGTTGGCATAGACTGGCTACCAGGTCAGCCAAGTGGCTGCAACCGCTTGTTGGTTCACATCAAACCCTCCACAGCTGCGTGGCCAGTTTCCACACACTGAAGGGAACTGCTGACAAGTGAAGATGTTTTATTTGTTCTCCTAGGCAGTTTGAGGCGTGCGCATGTGGTCAGCTACAGCAGCCTGGCTCCAGCACTCACACAAGAGAATTTCTCAGTTGCTCATTGCCATCTTCCAGCTTGTGCATGTTTGGCATCCAGAAAACCCTTCAGTGCTTGTGATTGTACATCTATTTGCAATGCTTGTCTGTTTCCTACCTGCTTGTTTACTACTTGCTACTTTATCTTGAAGAAATGTCAAGCCATAAAAGACTGACAAATCAATACAAATGGACATCACCACTGAGGGAAACAAAATCACAACAGAAGAAATGATTATTTGAAGAACGTGTATAATGTAGGAACTTTGTTTCATGTGGGACATTTTTTTGCTGAGTAGTGACATTAAGTTGCATACACAATTTATATGGTTGATTTATTTGCTGTCTCCTGTGCCCACGTAGACATAAAAACGGCAGGAGATAAGAAGAGAAAATTCCACATGCGCTAGAGTTCCCTGCTAAACTTTGATCAGCATCCACCTTGCTGGATTGCTTCTGGGCCGATCAACAGCTGAGAGTCAAAGGTGAACTTGTTTCAAGGCTGGTCCTAAAGAACTGACAGTCTTTCCACGCTGAACAACGTCAGTCAACAGAGGGTTATAAACAAATGCATACACACGGTTGCTTTGGGAGTAAGGCTGGATTAGAAAGCAGGAAGAAATACATTCCAAAATACATGGCATATTTGAAACTGAAGGTGGTTTCTACTCTCTACCAGGAGTTAAAGTTTGGGGGTGATTTCAAACACAGAAACCCACTGTGGTATATTTAATGTTCTATCTAGATCTGCACTTGTCCTTGTGCTCAATAAAAATTAAAAAGTTTAAACCTTTGCAAAGCCTGTAGCTTACAACTCACAGGCTTTCACAGATATGTGTACCTGAAGTGGTGGAGGGTAGGTTCAAAATTTAAGTTATGGAAAAATGCACTTTGGTTCTGGAAAACTGAGGCAGCTGCTGGGGGCAGAAGTGTTTATGCCTATAGAAACATAAATGTAGTCTGGCCACACACATGACAAAGTGGACCTATAGCAAGTAAAGCAAGACCAGATGCACTCGCACGGATCTTCAGAGGCTCCTGGAATCTACCACCCAGTACATGGGACACAGAGAGCGGCCCGGTGAGGTCTATGCTGGAGGAAGGCTTTTTGGCAATAACTAAAACCTTGATGGAGAAGAAAACGTGTGTTCTTAACATTTACACAGGATGATGGGAAGATAACCTAGAGCTCCTCTGCTTTCCATTTGGAACTCAGACATGTCCCTTTCGCTCAAGCAAGGCTTTGATCGGCATTACTTTGATTAGCTTCTTTYGGATGTTTCCTATGGAAAGCCCTATTTGTATGTTAAACCTGGAAGATGATAATCTGAAACATGATCATACTCTTTTCCTCCCTGGGATACTAACACATAGAAATAGACATATAACACATATATATATACATGTATACATACATATGTGTGCATATATATACACACAAGATGAACAGAATTTATGCAACAGAACTTTGCTTGATCATGTTCTCTTCCAAACACCTGCCTCAAGATCAGTCTTGCTAAAAAAAGAAACTAAAAAACAAAATGCCATGATGCAAGAAACCAGGGATAAGGAGCACTATGAGCTACCTGACTTCAGGGAGGCAACTCATTTCTCCGCTGGAGGAGGGTAATGAGCAAGCAGGCAAATCAGTCCAACCCAGATGCCATTTTGCTGCTTCTGGCACCCACAGAAGCGAGCACATCTGTACACTAGGCTGCAGTCTGCAATACAAACACACTTACAGAGTTTTAGGGCAAGGAGCAGAGCTCGCCAGAGCATTTGCCGTTAGACAGTGAAAGGACAGGCACCCACACTGCACATGCAAATTCAAATCCGATAAGCAGGGGAAAAGGAAACACCGGAGGCGAATCTAGCCGCTTTRGACTACAGCTGTGAGAGTCCACATTATCCATGGTGAATCACATGCTGGATCATGACTGCTACTACCTATCGTTTTCCTAGYATGGCCTTTTCCACCCTCTGGAACTTCTGTACTTCAACGGCTAGTTCCCAATATCGGAGATACAGCCACATAAGTCTTCCATTTTGGCTTYTGTTTCTGTTGAGCAGTTTGCCACAGTAGTTATCATGTTTGAAAATATCTTTCAAGCCACTCTCCACCTGCAGAGCGACAGCAACAGGATCCGTTGCTGCTTTAACCAGCAGATTCTTCTCTATTTCTAGTCTCTGGTTCCTTGGCACCACAAGACTGCAGTAGATCTCCTGTCTTTCTTTCAGTCCATCTTCCAGTTCTTTCAGTAGAATATGGGCTCTCTTTTGCCACTCTTCTTCCTTTGCCAGGTAACTCTGGTACAAGTTACCTGCGGCTCCTGAGTGCAAGAGGACTTGTTTTTCTCGCTCCAGCTTCTCCYGTTCCTGCTCTAGGAGTCTTCTTTCCTCTACAAGCTTGCGGCTCTGGGACACCAGGGCTTCACGGTAACTCAGGGTCCTGCTGCGCTCCTTTTCAAGCTCCAGCTCCAAGTGAGCAACCGTGCGACGATTTTCTGTGATTATATCCCGGTATTTGGCTTCCAGGTCTCTTTGTAGAGATGACTGTTTCTTATAATATTCTTTTTTTTCTCTTTCTATTTCTTTCTGACACTCTCTGGTCCAGATCCAACCTATCATATATAAAGGAGACTGCACATATTAGTAAAACACAGGTAGCACCGATAGGTTTAATGAATTAACTGTTCCTCAAAAGTTATTTTGCAGTAATAACTTTTGTTTCCTGGTCCTTGCCCCCCACAGTGGGTCCATGTTCCATGRGAAGGCGAACTAGACAATCATTCTGCTTCCTTTGAAGGAATCTCCACTAGTATCGTATTGCTAACAGACATACTTCTTGGATTAAAGAAATATAGAATTACTGGGGAGATAAACTCGAGATTCCCAGTGCAGAAACTATGCTGCTAAGCACTTTCCAGGTGCAGCAAAATGATAACACATCAGCAGCTCTTTGGTCACCTTTGGCTTGCTAGCATATTGCTCGTCTCCTCCTCTGACAGGGGGCTAAGAAAAGTCGAGCTTACTGATAGACAGATTCAATTCAGTGCGTGAAAAAAAAAAAATCATTGCCTTGGGGTTGTAAATTGAACAGTATTTACTGGAGCATTCCCAAGCACATGACACATCCTGGAGAYCAGGGCAGAGGGAATCCCTAGCCTGGGTGTTTCCTAACCGCTGTGCTGCTTCGGGGATTGCAGCYGGGCCCGCAGGTTACCACTACTTACGAAAGGCTGCCAGCCCCAGCATGGGCACCAGCAAGGCGTAGTTCCACCTGCTGCCCTCATCGCCGGGCTCCCTTCGGTTCGGCTGGATGTTCCAGTGGGGAGGATCGTTCAAGTTATTCATGAAGACGCTGTGGATTCATGGGAAAGAAGGGAAACGCGGTGTTAGTGCCCTACACAGGTACAAAGGCCGTTCCTGTTGCWACTGTTTTGTCTCTGGGCAACCGTTTCGGCCGTTAGTTCCCACACAAAACGAGCAGGAGAGGCGGCTGCAAAGCCCTGACACCAACGGCCCCAAACGCGGCCTCTACTCGGCGGAGCCCCGCGGGCAGGGCGCGCATCCGAGGCCCCGCAGGCCGCGGCGCCGCTTCCCTCCCGCCCGCCCCAACTCCTGATCCCGATCCCGGCCCCGGCCCCGTGGCGGCCGTTGGGCCCCGTGTGGGGGCGGGGGCGGGGGTCGCGCAGCCCCCCGCAGGGCGGGGCGGGACCGTCACCCCGGCGCTGCCACGGCGCTCACCTGCCAGCCCCGCCCCCCTCGGGCCGAGCCATTAACCGAGGGGAGCCGCGGGGGGGGGAACTAAGAGAGGTGCCGTTCGCGCTAAGCGGGGAGCGCTTAGCCCCAAACGCGGAGCAGGACAGCAGGGATGGAGACGTGCTGGAGGACGTGCTGGGGGACGGCGTACGCGGGCGGCCGCAGGTTCTCCCCTTCCACACCTCTCCGCCCCTCTTCCCCCCCCCGCATCATTGGTCTCTCCCGCCGAGCCCTGCGGGCGMGAGCGCCGCTAGCGGGCGCCGCGCGCATGCGCGCTGCTCTCTCCTGGGGCTCGGCGCGAAATGGCGGCGGTGGCGGCGTCGCGGGGCTGGGCGAAGCGGTGGCTGCGGCCGGCGGCGCGCGCGGTGAGTGCGGCGGCCTGGCCCGGCCCCAACGGCCCGGCCCCAACGGCCCGGCCCGGCCCGGCCCGGCCCGAGCCGCCCGCGGGAGCCGCCTCGGTGCGGGGGGAGATGGCGCAGGCCGGGCCGGGGGCTCCGGGAGGCTCCTGCCCCTCCCCCGGCCGGGGGGGAGGAGGGAGGGGGCGGCACCCTCCGTGTCCGTCCGTCTGTCTGTCCCCCCGTTCCCGCCCCCGCGTGTCGCTGCCCTGTGTCCCCCCCGTGACCTTGGGCAGCCGCGGGGAGGAGAAGCAGCCGCTTCGTTGCCGTTTCTGTGATCATTTGTTAATGTGTTTCCCGAGGTTTGGGTGCAGAGGTGCATTTCGTGACTGCTTTACAGCTAGCCCTGCAGAAAAGTGATGTAGCAACTTCAGAAAAATAACTGTTTATTTTAAAGACGACTGTAAGGCCCTTGTAGCAGAATTCTGGAGATYGTAGCTCGACATCTCCTTTGGGAGGGAGAAAGGGCTTGGTTCATTTCTATACTACACAAGTTACCTTTTTTTTTTTTGTCCCAAAAAGTAACTTACACCTGCTTTAAGCAACGTACAAAAACATGTGAGCATGTATGAAACTTGTCATGTACTGTCAGTAAAAACTTTCTTCAAATTGCTTTACCAAATAACCAGGTAATGTTGATCACTGACCAGTGGCAGTAAGCTAATAAATTAAGAAGCAGTGCAGCAGTGCCAAAGCTGCCAGGTGGTTATTTCTCTGGAGGAAACAGGCAGGAGTGGTGTATGCTGGTGAATGCACGGTAGGTAAACCTGAAGCAGGCGGTGTAACTGGCCAGGTAAACTAGAGTTCTGCTAGTCCAGCTCCAAGTGTAGCTCAAGGCTTTGAACACATTTCTACCATAGAGAGAGCAGCCAGTTCCAGTTTGGTATCTGGTGTTGGGAGCTTTTGTAGGAARGTTGCGCCCTGTACTTCATGTTGCCTGTTACATGTGTTCAGTCTCTCCTGATCTGATTCAGGAGGTAAAATATTAGTGAAGGTGTGGGACACAAATGTGGAAATTAAGAAGGGCATGAAATTGTCCAAAAGTGTGATAACCCAGCAGAATGGGGGGAGGGAGAAAGGGGAAAATAAACAGTTGGAAGAGATTACCAAGATAGTTTTTTCCTTTTTAGCTGTTGCAGTTGATCGTATTAGTCATCTCACTAGCTACTTTGTAGAGATGAATAAATACAGTCCTATTAAGGACTATATTAATGTGTATTATGACAGTTTAGGTTTGCTGTCAAGCATAAAGATGATTTTAAGAAGTTAGTAAGAGAGATGATAAAACTTAGTTGACTAAAGTTCAGTGTGGTTCATTTCATGGTGGGAGGGGAAAGATGAGAGAAGACCTGCTTGTTGACCGTATTGTAAAGCAATGACACTGTCATTATAACAAATTTTGGAAAAGACATATGCAGAAATGTATTTGAGAGGTATTTTAAATAGAAAAGTACTGGTGTGCCTGTGCAAGGCACTGGTGTGACATTTTTGTCTTATTGTTCTAGTCATATAGATTAGATTATAGATTCATTCTTCATTTTTTCTTCAGATTGTTCAGAAAATATTCTAGGATTGGGAAAATTGGTGACTTACACTAGAAGCACTAAGACTGTGGCTTTAACTTATCAAAGCAAGAACTGATATGAGTTTCAGACACTTAGTGTTTTTGGTGAAACTTAGTGTTAGTCTTTTTTCGGTGTTTGGGGAGCCGTGAGAATGTTACAAAAGGGGAGAACAGTGCCACAGCTTAATTCAGGTGGTAGCAAGTAGTTTTAAATAGGCCACTAAAAATACAGAATGAGGGAGAAGAAAAAAAAAGGGACACTATCTCTCGCTCTTTAGACTCCTGAAATAATTCAAATTCTGTGGGTTGTTTGACTCAAGTGAGATCTCCATTAATTCTGTGATTCTCCAAGTTGTCAGTGTCCTTGTTTGCATAAGAGAAGAAATGGTAATAGCAGATAGGTCTAAGAGACTAGCTAGGATTAATGAGATGAAGAAAATATGATAAAGGCCATGTCAACTTACTGCTTGCAGACTGCTCTGTCACTTAGTCAAAACTTTACATATCTGTCCTTCTGGCTGTGGTGATGGAAAGGGCAGAATTTCACTGCAGATAGCTCTGAAGTGTTGTTGGTACATGGCATTGTTGAACATGTGATATCAATGGTACACAGATGCTATAAGCACAGAGTAAGTGGGAATGCTGAAGGCATGGAAATACTTATTCTTCAGTGGATGTCTTGTTTCTTTCCCCAGTGGCCAGCAGCGTGCCAGACTCTTGCACGCAACTTTCACTTCACCATCACTGGAAAGAAAAGTGCTTCCACCAAGGTTTCTGATTCGGTATGTCTCTGCTTTTCTGTGCCTTAAGAACAGACTAGATAACACATTTGTTGCATRCTTTTGATGTCTAGAAAGAAGCCGTAGACCTGCTGTGAGGTACATGGCTTCAGTAGAATTATATGTGCAAGTAGATTGAGTTTCTAAACTGAATACTTTTTCTAGTGATGTATTTCTTCTTGCGGACATTTCTGATATATTCTTTTTTAAAGGATGTTTAATATACAGTTAATGTTCTTAACAGATGTTTACTGTTTGTGTTTACACAGAACGTTAAAGTTCTGTGTAAGCTTTAAATATTTTTGATAATRATCTCTCTTTCTTTTTTTTTCTTTTTGTTCTTCATTTTCCAGATTTCTACACAATATCCAGTAGTGGACCATGAATTTGATGCAGTTGTTGTGGGTGCAGGTGGAGCAGGTCTGCGGGCTGCATTTGGTTTGTCAGAAGCTGGATTCAATACAGCATGTGTTACAAAACTATTTCCTACCAGATCTCATACTGTTGCTGCACAGGTGAGAAATTAGGGGGGATATATGTTCAAAAAATATCTGCTTTCAGAAAACCTGTCTGAAGGTACRTATGAGTATAATGTGTCAAGGGTACATTTCTTTCATAAATGTTATGTGTTTAGTTGAAACTGTTTTGGAAGGCAATATATGTCTAGCTTTTATTCAGTTTAGTTTCATTGTATTCTGTGTGTGTAACTGTTGTGTTAACACATCAGAATAAGAACTGTTGTGAAACTAGTAAATTTAATGTTTTTTTTTTTTTCCCTATAACCGTGTTAAGTCTGACTTTCCTGTTTATCTTATGCATAATGGGTGCAGGGGGAAAAACCACTGAACCTGTACTTCAGTRATATAATTCTGGGAATATGCGTTTTCCTTTTCAGGGAGGGATCAATGCTGCCCTGGGAAACATGGAGGAGGATAACTGGAGGTGGCATTTCTATGATACAGTGAAAGGGTCTGACTGGCTGGGGGACCAGGATGCCATTCACTACATGACCGAGCAAGCCCCTGCTGCAGTCATAGAGGTGAGACTCAGTGATGCTGATTTATTCTTTAGGTAACTATAGCASAGAGCATGTGCTTCCATGACACCTTCCATGGAGGTCTTCTTGCCAGGAACTTTCTGACTTATTACTCATCTCTTTATCTGATGCTTGTATCTGGGTTCAACAGCTGGAAAATTATGGAATGCCGTTCAGTAGAACAGAAGAAGGAAAAATCTATCAGCGTGCATTTGGTGGACAGAGTCTCCAGTTTGGAAAAGGAGGACAGGCTCACAGGTGCTGTTGTGTTGCTGACAGAACAGGACACTCACTGTTGCACACCTTGTATGGCAGGGTAAGAAGCTGTGAAATAGAAATGAAGTTGAGTTTTTGTGTCTTAATGATTTCTTCTAGCACTTGAAAAAATCAAGAAATGTAGCTGCCTGCAGCTACARTATCTGTGAGGAGTCTGGGCAGATGACCAACTCAAATTCTGGATTTTCTTCCTCCTGAGGCGCTGTGAAAAGTTATAGCATTGCAAATGCCTCTTTCTGGCAAGGAGTGCAAACAATAGAACACACTGAAGGATCCTGCTCATACTTGCTCTCCTGGAGGCAATGTTTGACTAGTGTACACTGACAACTGTGCGGTTGGAGAGGCTTTGCGTGTTGCTGCCTTTGCATCCACTAACTAGTCAAAGACAGAATTTGTCTTAAACTTTCCTCCCCACCCACCAGAGGAGAAGAAAACCTTTTTAGTTTTTTAAGGCAGGCTGACTCAGGGCCATTGGGGAACTCTTGACAAAGATACAAGGYAGTGTTTTTGTTCAGTCATCGTCAAAGAGCAGGGAAAATGTGTGTAATGTCTATAAATGYATAAAGAGTTAGAATGCATTCCTGAATGCATTCCTGTATTCCTTACTTTCTTGCAAGTTATTGACTATAATTCTAGTATATCCTATCAATGCTGTGGGACAAAACAGAGGAAAGATATAGTTATTTTTGAAAGTGTTACTAAGTTACC